TGAGACTTACTACCTACTATACGCATTTGTAAATTCTTTGTATTACCAATTTTACTCTTCTATATCACAGTGCAGTAGTGGAGTTCTACCAACACACACATGAGATGTCATTTACAACCTTCACAACATTAACAATAATGGGCCAAAAAAAAAAAAACCCAAAACAACAATAACTGGATATCACAGGTAGAGGTTAAATGCAAAGTGCTGAACGTCTAGAAGGTACTGAAGAAACTAGGCCTCTTCAAGTTTGGTGATCTGCTTTCCATGGCTTCAACAAAAGCATGCTTAAGTAGATTACAAAGATATTTCTACACATAGCTCCCTGCTCCCAATGCTGAGAGCAGACTCAACTCAAAGAACAAAGTCATTGAGAAGCCTGCATCTGGGTCCAGGGCATTTTAAGGACTGCATGGGGCCTCACAGGACAGGAAGTCTGGCTGCAGCTTCCCACCCAGATCCAGGGCATGCCCACAACACCAGATGCAGCATCTCACCATCTGCCATTCCTTATCTGGGCACAGCAGCCAATTGCTCACCATGTTGTTGTTTCTCAGCTGGTACTTGCTCAAAGTACAGCTCACACATCCATTGGTACCAGTTTCTCTTCAAAGCCAAGCCTCAAGCCAGAGGCCTGAAGGGCTTTGCACCACTTCTGACTGGCAGGTGGCCTAGGGTCCTGATTGGCTAGTAAGGCCTGAGTGAGAAGAGCACCACTTGCATGCAGGTTACAATGTGCTTAAAGACATAGCACAACCTGCCTTCCACTGCAGACAAAGACTATTTCTATGTCAGCAGAGATATGCATTTCTATAGTATTTGTTCCCTGGCTCCAATAGCCAACTCTGCTATCTTCTTGCACTCCACAAGCATTTCCTCTTCTTCCTCCTGGACACAATGTGGCTAGATAGCTTGTACAGCTCACTATACTTCCTATGTGGATTGAGTGATTCTCTGTCAAAAAACTGGAAGGGTGCCCAGAATATTAACTACTGAAGAGGAATTTAAGGATACAAAAGGAGATGTTTGTTATGTGGGTTTACACTGAAGTCAGGCAAACTGAAGATGCTTTCTACCTGGTTGTCACAGGAATTTCAGGTATTCAGGAAAGAAAACAAGACACCAGATCACAAACAAGATACTAGGTTTTTCTCCAATGAGAAGGTTGGATGATGACTCCAGTGCTGTTAGGAGTTTTATTATAGAATTTCAGAGCAAACTCTAGGCAAATGCATAATAATAAAAAGTGTAGTCTTCCTGGAAAATTGAATATTAGGGAGTAATGGAGCTAGGAAATTGTGTTTAGGAATACTATTTTTAGCCAGCACATCTTCCTCAATGAGCAGGTTTTTTTTTTAAAGCAAAATCCAGCTGCATTATTCAAGGTTATCTACATTAACAAGACTGGTAGAATGAATCTTTTTGTGTATGTAGAAAGTGGGTTTATTAGAATGTCTCACAGGCTTTGGCCCAGCTAGTCCAACAATGGCTGTCTACCAATGGAAATTTGAAGAGTCCAGCAGTTGTTTAGTCCATCAGGCTGAATGGCTCAGCTGGTCTTCATTATACACCAAAATTCCAAAGATGTAAGCTCTAATGCTAGTAAAGGAATTAATTTGGTAACCAGAGTTAGGGAAATCAGCCAAAGAGAGAGAGAGCATCCTCCTTCAATATCCTTTAGGTATGCAGGCTACCACCTGATGGTGCCATCCATACTAAAGGTGCATCTTATACTTTGTTTTTTGTTTGTTTGTTTTGTTTTGTTTTGGTGTTTTCAAGACAGGGTGTGTTGGTGTAGTCTTCAAACTCATTCTGTGGACCTGGCTGGCCTCAAACTCAGAAAATGCGATTGCCTCTACCTCCCGAGTGCTGGTCTTAAACATGTGCACTGCCATCAAGTAGCTAAAGGTGGATCTCATCTCCTTGTTCAATACAGCATATCTTTGGCTGTCATAGTGGCAGAATGAGTTCTATGAAAGCCAAACAGAGTTATGCTGTAGGTGCTGGAGAAATGATGTTGGTCCGCAATGTTGAATTGCTGGAATTTTGTCAAACTGGAAGGTTCAACACATGGTTCACACAATTAAGTCACCTCACAGCTTCATGTGCTATAGATATACCTAATTATTTCAAATTCCGTGCTTCTTCATCTTCCCATTATGTTCCCATGATTTACTTCATCTTGAAGTACTGCCTTCAAAGGGATTATCCAGAAAGGCTTTATAATATCATGGCATGAGAGTTATTAAAAATAAGACAAAAATTCCCTTAAATGTGTGAGCCTGTAATGTAATTACAGGTTTTTAGACTATGACAGTAATGTGGAGACCAAAAGTCATCTTCTTAGGGTCTACTTTTGGCCTACAAGTAGTAAAACAGTAGACTCATGCAATTTTAATTTCCATGGGAATCCCATTGTGGGAAAAGACTTGATTCTTCCAAATGTGAATGTCTCTATTGGAGAAACATTTCCTTTTATTTGACCACCTTACATGGCAAACAGGAACTGAGAATGTGGGGATGTTTTTGAAATGGGGAATATTCATTTTTGGATTCATTAGATTATTTAGTTTTGTATATATTTGCCTTCTATCTCAGCTTGTTAGAATCTCAGGAATGGATTATTCACCATATATTTTCTTTATTGTTCCAAATTAGTCAAGTTGAAAAAATATTATTTAAATTTTATTAGTTTTGTCATTTTCCCTTTTGTAATATTTTCTATTCTTTTAAAGAATAGTACTATTGTGACTCCCTGTCTGGCCTGGAACTAACACTATAGACTAGGCTCTCCTAGGATATCAGAGAGATCTGTCCATCTTGACTCCAGAGTGCCTGCATTATAGTTGGATATGTCACTAGATAAGTTGGTTCATTTAATTGGCTTACTGAAGATGAGTGACTGAGCCTATCTGGTTGGGGTAGCCAGGAGACAGGCTCTGGTCCTAATTCCAGAAACAGAAGGCACCCATCAAATGCAGCCTTTCTGCCTTAAAGTCCACTATCTTCTAACAATGAGAAATATTATTTTTCCTTAATATTGAGTCTGTTATAACACATAAAACACCTGGGAAGAGTTCTGCCTAATTCTGCACATGGTGAAACCCACGCTCACAGGGTTAAGTAGATTTTGAATATAGTTAAGTGCAACTCCTCTTGTTACTCATCCCATAATTCTAATACCTCACAAAGTGAAGTTGAAGCCACCTAAGCCAGGCATGATGGCAGAGGAGTGTACTCATGGTACTTAGAAAATGGAGGTAGGAATTTCAGGATTTCAAAGTCCTCTAAGTTGAAAATGGTTAATTGGGTGTGGTGGGAGAACCACAGAACAAAGGGAGACTGTGACTTGTTAAGAACAGTGTCCATATTCTTCCCTGATTCTCCCACACCTCAGGGCTATAGCACCAGCAATTGTTAGCTAAGGTGTTTACCACCCCATCTTTCCTATTCTTTTTTATTTTATAAATTTTGTTTAAATGAGAAACAACCCTATTTTACATACCAATCCCAGTTCCCTCTCCCTCATATCCTCCCATGACCCCCACCAACTCCATTATCCATTTCAGTTCACCAGGATAGAAGAGGCCTTCCATGAGTATCATCAAAATCTGTTAAGTCATTGTGGGTAGGGCATAGGCCCTCCCCCATGTATTTAGGCTGAGAGAATATCCCTCCTTGGGAAATGGGTTCCCAAAGTCCATTCCTGCACTAGGGATAAATACTGGTAACTCTGCCACAGGCCTATAGCCTGCCCAAGCCTCATAGTTGACATCCACATTCACAGTGCCTGGTTTGGTTCCCCAACTCTCAGACTGGGTTCCATGAGCTCCCCCCTTTTTCAGGCATTCTGCTCAGCACTTCTGAGAGTCAGAGGTTGTCTCCTGTGCTGGGCCTTTGGTTCTCCATAACCGAATGGAAGATGGAGATGCATGGTATGGGCTCTCTCTAACTTCCTCTCACTCTCTTAGGTTTCAGATAGTGTCAGAAAAGCAGAGATTGCATCTTCTGGAGCAGGAAGGCTGTGAAAACTCTTTATTATGTTCTGTGTAAGTTGTTCCCCAATAAAACACCCACTTGTCATTTATCTTGGGTCTGCTGAACTCAATAACACCCACTTTGACATGAAACAATTTTTGTTGAAACTAGAGACAAACATGAAGTCTGTTCCCAGTTGTTTACATGAACTGGGATTTCACTTCCAGGAGCTCTTCCCTATTACCTGATATCAAGATGATACAAAAAGGATTTAAAATATGTACAGGGTTAGAGATATGGATGAGCAAATTTATGACAAGTTCATTGTCAGGACCTAGATCAGGTTTTTGAGAACTTTGTGTAGTTTCTGCTGCAGGAATACTCAAGGGTCTAATCATCTTGGAAAAAACATGAACAGTCACAAACCCACACACTGACATCACAATTAAAATTCAATCAAATCTCTAACCAAACATATTTTCACACATGAATATTTTCTCTTGTAAGCAGTCATTCCTGTAACCCAGGTTTTGAGGTATTTAACAGTTTCCCTTCATCATGTATTGGTTCATGTAACAGAAAGCAAGCATGAAGGATTCAACTTAGAGTAATCCATTGATCTCAATCATTTTTATGCAGTTAAATAAAAGTGTGAAATCAAGAAGAGTTACCTTATGAATGACTTTGCAGTACTTTTGTCCATATGAGTCTCCAGGTGCAAAAAAAAAAAAAAAAGAAGATATCATAATGCTTGAACAGATTGTTAACACTTGTCAGATTTTTTTTCTTCAGAATTTGTATACCTAAATGTGTGTTGGTTGAAGATCTTAACAACTCCTTTGTAGTAAGATTCCTTTCAGTATGAGTTTTCTCAGTTCCTCAAAGATTATTGAGATATACAAGTGCACAATTTTACCACACTACTTACATGTATACAGTTTCTCTGCAGTATAATTTTTTTCATGACTTTAAAGACTGATGATACATACAAAGACTTTACCATATTGATTACATTTACAGGGTCTCTCTCAAGTATGTGTTCTTTTATGGCGAAAGAGAGTACTGTGATGTGAAAAGGCTTTACGACATTGATTACATTCATAGGGTTTCTCTCCAGTATGTATTCTTTTATGTATTTGGAGTTTAGAGTGTTCTGAAAATGCTTTACCACATTGAGTACATCCATAGGGTTTCTCTCCAGTATGTGTTCTTTTATGTCTTTTAAGAGCACCATGACTTGCAAAAGCTTTACCACATCGATTACATTCATAGGGTTTCTCTCCAGTATGTGTTCTGTTATGTATTTGGAGTTTACAGCGTCGTGCAAAAGCTTTACCACATTGATTACATTCATAGGGTTTCTCTCCAGTATGTGTTCTTTTATGATATTGAAGACTACTGACATGTGTAAAGGCTTTACCACATAGATTACATTCATAGGGTTTCTCTCCAGTATGTGTTCTTTGATGTATTTGTAGACTACTGTCATATGAAAATGCTTTACCACATGCATTACATACATAGGGCCTCTCTCCAGTATGTGTTCTTTTGTGACTTATGAGACTCCAGTGCTGTGAAAAGGCTTTACCACATTGATTACATTCATAGGGTTTCTCTCCAGTATGTGTTCTTTGATGTACTCGGAAATGACTGTGTTGTGAAAAGGCTTTACCACATTGATTACAGTTGTAGGCTCTCTCTCTTGTATGTATTCTTTTATGTCTTTGAAGCTGGCCATGACGTGTAAAAGCTTTTCCACATTGATTACATTCATGGTTTCCCTCTCCAGTATGTGTTCTTTTATGGAATTGGAGACAACTGTGACATACAAAAACTTCACCATATAGAATACTTTCATATGGTTTCTCTACAGTATGGATTTTTTCATGCAGTTGAAGATGCCTGCAACACACAAAGGTTTTTCACAGATTGAGTATAAAAATTACAGGGCTTTTTCTCCTGCATGGCTTCTTTCATTCCTGCAAAGATAACTGGCACATGTAAAAGCTTTACCACATGCATTATACTGATGAAAATTAGTATCTGTATAAACTAATTTTACAATTTGGCCTAATTGTAAACATCAGTCAGATCGTAGGTTTTACATTTTTTTTTTTTTTTTTTTTTTTTTTGGTTTTTCGAGACAGGGTTTCTCTGTGGCTTTGGAGGCTGTCCTGGAACTAGCTCTTGTAGACCAGGCTGGCCTCGAACTCACAGAGATCCGCCTGCCTCTGCCTCCCAAGTGCTGGGATTAAAGGCGTGCGCCACCAATGCCCGGCCTAGGTTTTACATTCTTGATGCTTCCCTTTGAAGATACCTGTGATACTAAGAGCCTTTATTTCATGGCCACATTCATGTCATTCTTTTTATGTGAAATTTTTTCACATATTAGAAAAGAACTGAAGAAACTCAGAGCTTTACCATACTTATGACAGTCATAAATTTTCCTGTAGTATCAGTCTTACTACATTGGCAGACTATATCAGAACAAATGGAAGTATTCATACAATCCCATACTCACAAAGCTTTTCTGCAGTATGTGTTTATCGATATCTTTCTAGTGAAGTTGGAAAACCTATTAATTGTAAACTTATATAACATTCACTAAATCTACTCAAATTGGGGACTACTAAATATCTTTCCTATCTTCTAATTTTTCTGAGAGATAGATAGATAGGTACATTGCTTATTTCCATATTCTATGGTCACATGGCTTGTATTTATAGTGATATATGATATTTTTTCTTGGTTTTCTGAGCAATGGTTTCTTTGTGTAGCTTTGGATCCTGTCCTGGAACTCACTCTATAGACAAGACTGGCCTCCAACTCACAGAGATCCATTTCTCTTTTCCTCCCAAGTGCTGGGATTAAAGGTATGCATTACTCCTGCCCCACTGTACATGATATTCTTATTAAAGGAAGAACAACAAATAAAAGGCTTCCATATTGCATTCACACAGTTTGACTTTCTTTTCCTTACAGACATGTGGTATAGGGATTAAGGTTTCTCCACAACTTACTTGACTCTCATACACTGACCCTTTCAATCTACTGAGCAAAGTCACAAGTACATAAGCTTCACTATAGACTCTTTTTTCTTAGAAGATTTGGACATGAATTATCTCTTATTCAATGTGTATGCCACTTAAAGTATCTGAGTGACATGAAAGTAAACGGATTGGCATTTCTACAGCATAGCTCTCATCTAGCTATATTGTAAATGGTGGTATCTGTTAAGACATTGTTTCTTATTCTTCTTTTGTACAGGAATGACTTGCAAGCACAGAAAAGCTACCTGACATTGAGATACATGATTTGGTGAGAAACTAAGAATCACTAAAATACTTAAAGCTGTGCTTATTTACACTGTATCTTTTCTTTAAAACTTCTACAACACATTAAAATCTCTGAAGATTCAAATGTGAGTAAACATGTACATGAAAATTACCTTCTTTGTCTTCTAGAACTTTCACAATGTTGTTGAATATTATGGCCTTCCCAACTGTAGCCTAAAAATACAATACCAGAAAGTAGATGACATATTATTTGAAAATGCACAAAATTTAAGTTAATATCTATAATGAATATTAAACTATGCCTTATCCACCTAATTTTTCCTTTTCTCAATGGAAAATACAGAAGAGTATCAATAACCAAGAAACAGTTGTCTCCTTATTTTAAATCATGAAGGAAAATTCAGTCTTACCTATGGCAGTGAGGTTCCAGTAGGTCTCCCACATCACTTCTTTGTAGAGACTTTTCTGGGAAGGATTCAGAAAAGTCCACTCTTCCTGAGTGAAGTTGATGTGCACATCATCATAGGTCACTGATTCCTAAAATAACCCATTCATGTGTAAAACAGAAATGGTGATACTCACATTGTAAATGTATACTTCTTTAACAGTATATTCATATTATTCTGGAGTTTCTCACACTTATTTCATGACATGGACATTATAGTGTATTCACCTGGGCACTTTATATGGAAAATGAATAAGAGATTCAAAAGCACCATTTCTTGGCCCTTTAAGTAGTATATAGCCATGAGAAAGAAATCCCAATGAATAGACATAAGAAAGAGGTAAGATAGCAGATCAACACTACTGAGAACACATCAGAGAAATTTTATGATAGAGCCAGCCTATCACAGCAATACCCCAGTCCCTAGTCCCTACTTCTCTATTTGTTAAGTTTTTATTTCTATGAAGAGACACCATGTACCACCGTAAATCTTACAAAGAACACATTTAATTGAGGTGTCTCCCTTAAAATTTCAGAGGTTCAGTTAATCATCATCATGGCAGGGGGCATTGCAGCATTCAGGCACATGTGGTCCTGAAGGTTAGAGTTCTTACACCTTGACCTAGAGGCAACAGGAATTTGACTGACACACTGGGCAGCATCCCGATTATGAGAAACCTCAATGCCTGACCCCACAGTGACCTAATTCCTCTAACAAGGAAAAGCCCAGTACAAGAAAGACACACCTGGAGCACACAGACCAGAGACTGACAGCTGGGGAACTTTCATGGCACCAAACTAGACCCTCTGAATGTGGGTGACAGTCAGGTGACTTGATCTGTTAGGGATCCCTGTGAGTGAAGCAAGGACCCATCCCTGGTGCATGAATTGGATTTTTCTAGCCCACTCTCTGTGGTGGATTACCTTGCACAGTCTTGATACAAGATGGAGTGGCTTGGTCCTTCCTCGACTTGGTATGCTGTATTTTGCATGTGTTTGTGCATAAGAGAGAACATTTTCTATATGTATACAATATATGGAATGTAAATAATTATGAGCCTCTTTAGTGTCAGTACCTGAACTCTGGTCATCCCCCAAAAGATGTGGTGAGCCACAGGCCAAAATCCACAGTATGTTTTACCTGATAAGCCTAAACTCTTTCACAGTTTAAAAACAACAAGAAAAACATACAGACAATAAATAAAGAAGTAAATTAGTATCCTTGTGACCATAATGCATGAGAATTAAAATATTGTATATGGTAAATTCACAGCTTATAATGAATACAATCCAGTGACAGTGCCAAACAATTCATAACAAAATGCTGATTATAATGCTACATTTGCAAAAATAATAAATGAAATAAAAAAGCTATTGTGGCTGGTGGTAGCAGAAAGTTCAAAACATTCTAATCAAGTATTGCTGAAAGACAATCCCTATCACCATCTTTTTAGCATTTTCTAAATTACTGGTAATATTTATGAGACACACACAAAAGTAGAATGCAATATTCAGAAATTCTAGAAAGCAGACTGTCACTTTCCCAATCTGTGCTCCCACTGCACACCAAACCACTCAACAGTGATATTACAACATCATATTCTCCTGGGCCAGGCCTGCAGAGTCTACTGCTATCCTAGAAATCCATATACAAGGAGCCTTAGAGGACAAGCTCAGGTCATGACATGGACCAAGAAAACCAGTCTGTCTCATGTTCCATACAAATCCCAGCAGAAATAACAGCTCAGCAAACCAGCTCTGAATACCCTACACTCACACATGGTATATCTTGTGTTCTTCCTTACAACTTCCTAGAGCAGAGGGGAGGAGAATCCTGGAAAGGAACTGTAAGCTACCTTTCACCAGTACTCCTGATTGCTAATCCTTCCCAGATTCCCTCAATGGTTGGGGCCACCCACCTGGGCCTAGAATATGAGCATCCTCCCTTCCAAGTGATCAGAGATCAAATGACCCAGATAACACAGTCATTCCAGCTCTGCCCTTCCAGCCAGAAGACAGGGCCTTGGTCAACAAAGTTTGTATTTTAGTAGACATTCTTCCACTTTCCTAGAACACATCCTATTTTTCTTGCAATGCACAGGGTCATTTTGGTGCACATTCCATTATATACTCAATGTGCAGTGCCGCCAACCATTGACCTCACATCTGGAAAATACTGCAGTCAAAAGAATGTAACATTCAAACAGAAACTGTTGTTAATGTGTAACTATTCTTTAAGAAAAACAGGGCAAGAATTAGAAAACAATGAGGAGTCATGGTAGGGCTTGAGGACAGGAGAGAGAATGTGGATATGATGTAGTTATGATATAAAAAAATGCATTTTGAAAAGTTGAAAAGAGCTTTATGGTCATGTGTTCCAGAGATAAGGGATTTCTATTAGAGCACATCAAGGATTTCGCAAACCTTTTCTCTCAGGCTGTACATCTAAATCCAGAAAAATAACAGTTCTATTAGGCAGGCCACAACCGTTTACACAGATCTAATTTGGTTGAACTATTGTAACTATAGCAATTTGTATTCATGATAAGGTGTGTCCTTTATCCATATTCTTGATTGCCTTCATCTGTTGACCCCAAGAAATGGCCAGTCAGGACAATTATGGATCATCTAGAATAGATCACCTGATTCCATAATGCTCCTGTCAACTACTATTGAAGGAGGAGAGCTCATCCTCCATCCTGCCTCTCCTTTCTGCAATGTCACTTCACAAGTTTGAAAGTTGGTCAGTGAACTCACTTCTTGCACAGGTTCCTCTTCATTTCTAAGTCCCCACTGAATATCAGAAAGCTTGGAGTTTACTCATTAACTGGCCTATTTTTCCTTCTCACTGAACAGTCAAGGCCCTCCTGGAAGGAGGTACACAATTGTCTTCTCAGCACTGGGCAGGAAAAGCAGGATTAGGTGTTGAAAGCAATTCTCAATGACACAGCATGAGGCAAGCCTGAGCTACAGGAGACTTTGCTCTACACAGAAATCAATGATCAACATCACATGAGAGAAAAGGAATGAAACTAGTAAAAACCTAGAAACATTGGAAAACAGAAACACAAAGAGATAAAAGCAGTAACACACTTAAAGAAAACAATAAAAAAGGATACCAATAAGTGATTTTCAGAAAAATTAAAATAATGTATTTTTATTATTTTAAAAAATATGTTGACTTCAGGAAAAAAAGCACTTCCCTAGAAAACATCATTAGCAGCAGAAGTTGTAATAGATCTTTATAATCAAAACTCAGAGTCAGCTATCAGTGGGTGAAAGCTGAAGGATCACAGAAGCAGAATGGCCAGCCACTAGAGTTCTTACCTCTAACTATACTCTCGCCAAAGGTATGATCCCTTCTTCTCAGTGCCTCGTCAGAGTGACTGCTGTCTCTACAAAACCTCAGACTCAATGCTCAGACTGAATCCTCTCATTGCATGCCCTCCTGTCTCCCTCCACCTAATATTCTTCTCTCTGCCCAGCCATATCACTCCTATCTCTACCTCCCTAGTGCTGGGATTAAAGATGTGTGATGCCAAGTGCTGGGATAAGCTTTGTGTGAGCTGTTTCTCTTTTAGACTGATACTCTGACTCTATCTATCTATCTATCTATCTATCTATCTATCTATCTATCATCTATCTATTATCTATCTGCCCTCCCTCTCTCTCTCCCTCTCTTTCTCTTAGCAGAGTGTCCTTGAACCCACAGAGATTTATCTGCCTCTGTTGCCTCAGTTCTGGAATTAAAAGCCACACCTCACCACTGCCAGGTCAGGGATAACATTGAGTACTTGATATCCTGCTTCTATGCCTAACTAGTGACTTAGTGTGTGTGGCTAACTAGTCACTTAGCACTTATCCAGGTGTGAAGCTAACTAGTGACTTACTCCAGGCATTGGTGGCACACACCTTTAATCCCAGTACTCAGGAGACAGAGACAGGTGTGAGTTTAGGAGCAGCCTCGTCTTAGAGCAAGTACCACGATAGGCTCCAAAGCTGCACAGAGGAAGACTGTCTGGAAAAAACAAACAAACAAACAAACAAGTAGAAAGCAACGACAAAACCAAACATGTATTCTAGCATCCTAATTTCTAATAGGCCTGGTTAGCATTTACTTATTTTGGAGTGTTTTAGGGGCAGCTAATTTCTACTTTGTGAGACTATGTCCTAAGTATTTGTATGACCAATTTTAATCTTCTACATCACAGCTTAGTAGTGAAGTGCTACCCAACACATGATATGCCTTTTACAACCTCCACAAAATTAACAATAAATTGATTTTCCTTATAAAAGTTAAATGAAAAGTGCTGAACCTCTAGAAGGTACTGAAGAAATTAGGCCTCTTCAATTTTGGTGACATGCTTTTCATGGGACACCAAAAGCATGCTGAAGTTGACCACAAGGATACTTCAACACACAGATCCCTGGTCCCAGTGCTCAGAACAGACTCAATCCACAGAGCAAAGTTATTCAGAGGCCTGCCTCTGTATCCAGGGCATTTCAAGAACTGCATGGGACCTCACAGGACAGGGCGTATGGCTACAGCTTCCCACCCAGATCCAGGGAATACCACACAGGCTCTAACATCTCAGTTCCTGACACTCCCCATCTGGGGACAGCAGCCCCTCACTCACCATGTTGTGGTTTCCCTGCTTGCCCCTGCTCAAAGCACAGCACACAAAACCACATAGCCTGGGTTCATGCCTGACTCAATATAACCTTCCCAAAATATGAACTCAAAAATCTGGTCTGTCTTCATTCACATGACATGAATTAATACACCCTGGCAATTTAAAGACAAAAAAAATCATTGAATATGCCATTGATGTGAATATACACCATGACCACAACAACTCATAAAGAAAACACTTAATTGGGGTGGTTCACTTATATATTCAGAGGTTCAGTCCATTATTATGATAGTGGAGAGCATGATGTAATGGATAATGTGGTGCTAGCTACATCTTCATATGCATGTTATAGGAAGTCGACTGCTATGGTTGTCCGTATAAAGAGCATAAGAAACCCCAAAGACCATCACCAGTGATTATACACTTCTTCCAAAACTGCCAAACACACTGC